AGGTACGTACCTAATATCACGTACGTGACAGATATTATGTAGGTACGTTTTATTATCACGTGATATGCAATTAAATTGCACACGTACTATTATCACGTACATACGCATAATACAATTAAGTACGTGATATTATGACGTACGTACGGGCATGTTACTATCAGCCTCAGGTACGGACATGTACCTCGTATTATTTTATCAAGTACGTATGCGATAAAAACATTATTACGTTTTATTATCATGTACATTAAACGTACGTGATAATATCACGTAATGGGCTACCTAACAAGAAAACAAATCTCCATGTCTCCTGTAGGTCTCCGTACCCACGCGATTTCGTGTACTGCGCTTCCAATAATTATTTTCGGTGATAAAATCTAGGGAAATGTTTAGAAAGGTGTAGGCTAATGAATAGTGTTATTAGAGAGCAAGCATAGTCCGCTGCGAGCATGCGCACATTGAGCCTGCAGGCAGCGTGATGGGAGGGGCTGGGGGACAGGGAGGGGGTCGGGGTCACCTGTACTTAGTCATTGTACTTAGTATTAAATTCTACGCAATTGGTATATGTTTTCGAACGATTTTCTGTTATAGATAACCCCTCAAATCCTCAAAGTTCGTTCAGAGATTTTCTTTAAAATAAAAAGAAGAATAAAATGCAAACGAAATCAATTACAATTTAAATAAAATGAAGACACTGTGCCTTCTGCATTGTCAAACATTTTATATTCCCCCTAAAATTGAAAGTACTGGTGTATTTTTTCAGTATCAGAAACTTTAATCGTAAATTCAAAACTGATTTTGTAATTGATTGATTGTGGTTTTGTGATATTTTATCAATCCACTGGAATACTGCCTTTTGATATAAGGACGTTGGCTGGTACTTTGTACGCAAGAGATAACAATGCAGGTCTATTTGTAACGGGATAACTCTTTGAAAGTAATAATTCCCTTTGGGTTGTTCATCGGCGACGATTTAATTTCTTTATGATTGTATTAATGCTTAAGAGCTGAAATCTAAGCAATCAATACGGCATTGGCTGGTCCTTGTTCGTTTGGAAATTATGAGAACAAGTACAGACAGAGAAAGTTCTTTATGATGGTATAAAATGTTTTAGAGCACGAGTTAAGATTAACAATATCTAAGCTATCATCAATACGGACTTTGGCTGGTCCTTTATATATCTGTCGGTAAAAAGAGGTTTATTTCAGAGGAATTTCTTTCTTTTTTAACCCTCAAATTATGGCAATGTGTACTTTTTTCATTGTTCATGTTGCATGCTTGCCATTTTATCATATCAAACTCTTTGCACATCATCGGGACAATTGATATGTGTATTGTATTGTGTTGCCATTGTGTATTGCTCTCTCTGTGGTGTGATTTTATTTCGTTTTATTGTCTCTGTATGTTGTGTCTTTGATAAAAGAACAAATGAAAATTGTCTTAATCAACTCGATCGTTGCGGATCGTTGCGGCATACAACAAACAGCACAGCAAAATTAACACAGACGTTGAAAAAAATAATACTTGAGATCAGTGTTAAACGTCGGGGGAAAAAAACGGTCCGAAGCAGCAACGATAACGACGAAAATACGAAACTTATGCCAAAATTACGGCGGTATTGAAAGAAATAGTACCAGAAATCGGTGTATTTCAACTGCAATGGTACCCGAAATATTTGACGAAAATTGAAGAAGAAAAAATCAAATCGGTCAAAAATCACATCGTATGTGGATAAATTCTTTTCGTAGAAATACTACTCCGCCTTCAACAGATGGCTATGAAATCGAAAAATCGAAGCGGCAAATTGTTCAGTCACAGCGCTAGTGAGAGAAATTAAACTTGATTATCAGTGTAATTTTTTACACTCACACAAAAATCGGTTACGGAAATACCCAAATTAAAGTGGCGAAAATTATAATGACGAAAATCATGGCAAAACTTTAACAACGGCGGCGAAATGTGTACTTGAAATCGCCGTTGATTTTCTTAATAAATTGGCCATAATGAAAATGACGGAAAATTTGATACACATCCCATCTGCTGCAAATAGTCAGAAAACAATGAAAATGTGTGATTTTCTTATCCCTTCAAATATTTTCCTGATATATTGGCCATAAAAATGACAGAAATTTCGATAAAAATCATCAGCTTCAACTAGTCGGAAAAAGAATTTTGGCAAAACGGTGGAAAAAAACGACAGCTACAAAGAAAACTAATGGCAACGAGGTATGTATCTGAGTTACAAAAAGGTGTGGGGGAATGCAGTCAGACGTGCGACATGTTTATAGTCGCATACGACATTTCTTCATGTTGTAACTTTCAAACTTCATATTCATCATTTTTTTTATAAGTCCGATTTAGAAAGATCGGCAGGGACACCTGATTATTAAAATATATACTTTATCCTTAAGCTACTTATTTGGTATTTGACCTGTGATAACGCAAGTCCGATCATCAAGCATCGGCTTAGAATGAGGTTTGACATCAGTGTTGTTTTATTCAAGGATCAGAACAGAATCGTACGGCCAAAATAACATCGCTGCGGTATTGAGTTAGCAATGACCTGCAATCATTGATAGTTTTAATATCATCGGGTCATGACATTCACAATCAAATATTTGTGTGGCTTATTATACCGCACTTACCGTAATTTCCAAAGAAAGTGAGACACGCGACACGTGTAGAGTCGCATTGTGTGTAGAGTTGCATAATAACACATTTCATTTCTAGTGTTGTAATTAGGGCCGACGTGTAACTCTCCTTCCGCCGTATGTTTAACGTAAGTCCGATTTGGAAGGAATCGGCAAGGATGAAGATCTTATCTTGACATCTTTAAAGTCATGTGAATTTCTTGCATGATCGTAGGTGAGTTAGTCTGTTTTCAAAAGCAATATTGAAAACATTGAAGTAAACTTTGTAAGTATGCAGGTACAATCGTTACTTTCCACAGGGTCGTTTACCATGACAGGCTACAGGTAAGCTGATAGATAGTCATTGCATGTACATTGTATGGTAATGTTTCACTTCATGTAACAAAATGTTAGCTGAAGCTTGGCCCCGTGTTTTCGTACCCCTGTTCACTGAGGAAAGACTTGCAGCTTTCATCGAAGAAAATGAGGATCTATAAGCGGAGATAGGAGGCTGCTACGAAAATTGAAAACAAAATAATATTCCTATCATCTTAAATCACATCGTAAGTGGATAACTCCTTTACGTAGAAATACTACTCCGCCTCCAGGAGATGGCTAAGAAAATGACGAGACCAACACCAAATCTCGAAGCGGCAAAAATGTTCAGTGACAACATATTGCAAAAACAAATATAAAAAAACCCACAAAACACCCACCAAATTAAAACAATCGACGCTATAGTGAGAGAAATTATACTCGAGATCAGTGTTATTTTCGCACATACAAATAAAAACAAAATCGGTTACGGAAATACCCAAATCAAAGTGACGAAAATTAAAATGACGAAAATTACAGGTAAAAAAAAAAAATACAGCGGTGGCGAAAGAAGTGTACTTGAAATCTGTGTAAATTTAATAAAAAATAGAAATGACCGAAATTTTGATAAAAATCTCATCGGCTTCAAATGGTCGGAAAGCAAATTTTGGCAAAACGTTAACGGTGCGAAAAACGACCGCAACAAAACAATTAAAATGGCAGAAATTACGGCAGCAAAAAATAATCACCATCTCGAAACAAAGACAAACGTTAAACTGACAGGATTTACGGCAATTACAGCGAAATTATTTAAAAAAAATCTTCCCCGCAGAACTACACATCAAAAAATATCTTCCCCGCAGAACTACACATATTAAAGGTATTCGGCTTCAAAAATAACGGAAATTATTGCACATCTTCGAGAAGTTTGCCTACGAAGAAAACGAATGGCAAAAACCGAGGTAGGCCTATGCATCTGTGTAAGTCAAGTAAACAAAAATTTGTGTGGAATTTTTGTAAGTCCGATTTGGAAAGATCTGTTGGTAGTCTTACTCTGACCTTCGATAACGCAAGGCATAGGCCTACCATCAAGAATCGGCTGGGACGAGACTTAAAATTAAGGCTGTTGTGTTCAACGAGGAAAAAGCTCAGACTCTACGGCCAAAATAACAGCGCTGCGGTAGGGGAAGAGATAGCTAATACCCGGGATCTGCTTAAATATCATTGGTATTGAACTTTCACAATCAAATCTTTGGGCGGATATGAGAATAAACACTTACCGTAAATTTCAAGATAAGATATTTTAAGACATGCGACAGGTGTTTAGTCGCTGCAATACTTATTTCCTTGTTAATTTTTGCCCTCCTTCCGCCGTATGTTTAATGTAAGTCCGATTTGGAAGGGATCGGCAAGGATTAAGATGATATTTTGTCATCTTAAAGTCATGTGAATTTCTTGAATGTTTGTTTATAATGCGTGAGCTATATGCGGTTTCCAAGGCAACCTGCCATTATCAGCGTCGGCACATGTTTGTGCATTCTGACAAATAATCATGTCTGTTTTAAGAAGTAAATATTGGGTAGAATCGTTTAGTTTCCATTGGGTCAAAACCATGACCAGGTGAGGTAGGCTTACACATAATTATTGGATGCATTGGAATGTTTCACTTCAGTAACAAATGGGCTAGGCCCAGAGTGTTCTATTTGCAGCTAAAAAATTTACAAGTTGAGACAGACTGGATGAGCTAGGCTGCTTTGTCTGGACGGACCCTCCAAGGCTACAACAGCCTCATCAAACAGAAACTCGAGGAACCGGAAGCAGGGAGGAGGACCGACAGATGAACGGATGACCTGCTTGCCGGGCTTCCCATTACTGATTATCAGGTTTGTTTACATGTACTTAAACAGAAACAATCAAGTCAAAGAACTAATCAAAATGGGTGATCTGCTTGCTTGTAGCGGGGCTTTGCTTTGTGAGGTTATTCAAAGTTTTCTTTCCAACAGCCTCATCACACAGAAACTCGAGGAACCGGAAGCAGGGAGGAGGACCGACAGATGAACGGATGACCTGCTTGCCGGGCTTCCCATTACTGATTCTTGAGGTTAGTTTACACGTGCTTAAAACTAAACAGGAACAAGCAAGTCGCAGAAACTAATCACAATGGGCGATCTGGCTGTCTTTTATGTAATCGTGGCATTGCTTTGTGGGGTCAATTCAAAGTGTGTTTTTTCACTATCTAGCCTTACCTTGCACAATATTTCTAAATAATAATTCAGATATTTCCTTTCGTTATTTGAATCCAATTAGAGAAATGAGGACCACTGACTAATGAGGGAATTGCTCTACTGAGATGAGAATGAGCCTTCCTCAAGCCATCGTACGCAGGGAGGACCGACGGATGACTGACTCCGCCGGCCGGGCTGGTCATTGCTGATTCTTGAGGTGAATTTACTTTGAAAACGAAAAGAGACGGGATGAAGTTCTTGAAAAAAAAATGTGTTATTCCTTTGATACTATGTTTGTCCCTCCCTATTACACGGTGCTTGATTTCCCCTTTAAATATAAATTCTAAAGTTTGCTTGTTTATTTTGTTTGTCATGTTTTTAGAAGATGAGGGCGCCAAGCTTGGATGAGATTGGACAATGACGAAGCTGTATCTGGACAAGGAAACCTCCACAGTTAACTTGCAGAATATTGGATCAGAAATCAGACTGCATATTTTGCAAAGTCATTAAAAACACATATAAAACGACGAAAGTACGACTTTTCACACCAACTTTACAGCGATATTTGAAGAAATAATGACTGAAATCAGTGTTGTTTTTTACCGTTACTGCGATACCTACCCGAAATATTTGACTATACGTGTGTGAAGAAAATTGAAAACCAAAAAATGAAATCGGTGTGAAATAAATTACAGCGAAAATCACATCGAACGTGGAATTTTCTTATCGCAGAAATATCACTCCGCTTCCTACACGTGGCTTGGAAAATTAAGAAAATTACACCGAAAATCAAACCGGCAAATAAGTAAAGTACCGAACATACGGCCAAAAAAATCACAGCGCTGTTGAGAGAATACCGGTAATACTTGATTTCAGAGTTATTATTCTTACCTACAAAGTAAAAACAAATCAGTCGCGGAAACAACGAAATTAAAGCGACGAATATTACGGCAAAACTGAACAGTGGCCGCGAAAGAAATAAATACTTGAAAATCGGTGTAAATTTTCCTAAACTTCGATGTCATTCAAAAATTGGCCAAAGTAAAGTGACTGAAATTGTGATCAAACAATTTTGAAGTTATGATGGGCAGCAACTACCGGTACTACACTGCTTCAAAAAGTCGGAAAGCGAATTTTGGCCAAACGGCGTGAAAAATGACGGCAGCAAAACAAAATCAAATCTGACGGAAACTACGGAAAGAAAAGTAGATCATATCGAACTAAAACAATATGACTGACTTTCATTTCCATCGGTATTTAAAGGCATTTTTTCCCCTGCTGATCTTCACTACATCTTAAAAGTATATTCGTCAGCAAAAATAAAGAAAATTAGTGACATCGTCGAGAAGTTTGCCTTCAAAAGACCTAGCGGCCCAAAAAAAACAAACCAAGTTATGCATGTGACAGGGTACAACTTAAATGTGGTCAACAAGCGATTTCAGAAAATGGCCGACTTAGGGATGTATAAGACGTGCGACACTTCTTTGTGTTCTTGTAATTTTTTTCAACGTTTAGTTCATGTACGTCATTTCTGTAAGGCCGATTTAGAAAATCGGCAGAGATACATAGTCAAAAAGTATATTTTATCCTTTAGTTACTCATTTGGTTGTCTTACGTTGACATTTGATAACGTAAGGCCGACAATCAAGCATCGGCTTGGAATGAGACTTGATCTCTGTGCTGTTTATTAAAGGGGAAAAACTGCGAAAAACTGAATGAAATGAGACAATTGATGGTCCTTATAGTAGATTGTTATTTGTCTTTGTCTGTAATTTTGTCAGCGAAACTAACGGCCCAAATAGCAGCGCTGTGGTAGTGAGTTAAAACTAAGACCAGCAATCAGTGATATTTTTAAAATCATGGGTTTATGATATTGACAATCAAGTCTTTGTGTCCATTGAGTGGCTATGAGTATACCACACTTGGGCCTATACGTGATTTCCAAAGAAGAAAAAGAAAAGTATTAAGACACGCGACACGTTTACAGTCGCACGACATAACATAATCATTTTTGTGTGGTGTTATTTTTTTTTGTAATTAGGGCCTACAAAACCTCCTTCTGCCGTATATGTTTTATGTAAGTCCGATTAAGAAGGGATCGGCAAGGATAAAGATGGCATCATTTTGTCATCTAAAGGTCATGTGAATTTCTTGAATGTTCGTGTGCGAGTTATATGCGGTTTCCAAGGCAACCTGCCATTATTAGCGTCGGCACATATGTTGTGTGCATTGAAATGAATAATCTAGTCTGTGTTTACAAGTAAATAATGAGAACATTGAAGTAATCATTGTAACCATGGGTAGAATCGTTGGTTCCCATTGGGTCAAAACCATGACCAGGTTACAGCTAATCTTAAACATTGATGCATGTAATTTTGTGACTTCAATAACAAATGGGCTCTGCCCAGTGTTTTCGTACCCCTGTACACTTGGGAAAAATTGGAAGCTTTCATAGGAAGTAATGATGTAAAAGTGGAGACAGACTTGGCAAGCAGGCCGCTAATTTTTCAACTTCGACAGTATGCAAAATGTGGCTAGGCTATACAGAAAAATGACGGAAATTATGATGACATCTTATCGGCAGCGGGTCGGATCGGTAGCGGGCCGGATCGGTAGCAACTGCAACACCGCTTCAAAATAGTCGGAAAACTAATTTGGGGAAAACGGTGGGGAAAATGACAACAGAACAAATAAAACGGCGAAAATTACGGCAAAATTTACAGCGGTGTTAAAACAGAAATGAATAATCGCCATGTCGAACAAAAAATATTGGACGAAAATTGAAAAAAAAATCAAGTCGGTCTAAATTCACATCGTGTGTGGATAAATTCTTTCGTTGAAATACTACTCCGCCTCCAACAGATGGCTATGAAAATGACGAAAATTACATCAAATATCGAAGCGGTAAAAACCGTTCAGTCACAAATATAGGCGAGGAGGCTGCTTATTTCCCAACTTCGACACAATGCAAAATGCGGCCATGCTACATAAAAAAAATTGACGGAAATTATGATAAAATCTTACTGGCAGCGGATCGGTAGCAACTGCAACACTGCCAGCTTCATAAAAAGTCGGAAAACTAATTTTGGGAAAACGGTGGGGAAAATGACAACAGCAAAACAAATAAAACGGCGGAAATTACGGCAAAATTTACAGCGGTGTTAAAAAAGAAATGAATAATCGCCATGTCGAACAAAAAATATTGGACGAAAATTGAAGAAAAAATATCAAGTCGGTCTAAAATCACATCGTGTGTGGATAAATTCTTTCGTGGAAATACTACTCCACCTCCAACAGATGGCTATGAAAATGACAAAAATTACATCAAAAATCGAAGCGGTAAAAACCGTAAAATATTACGGTGGGGAAAAAAAGGTGGGGAAAATGACAGCAAAAAAAATAAAACGGCGAAAATTACGGCAAAATTTACAGCGGTGTTAAAAAAGAAATGAATAATCGCCATGTCGAACAAAAAATATTGGTCGAAAAGAAGAAAAAAAATCAAGTCGGTCTAAAATCACATCGTGTATGGATCAATTCTTTCGTAGAAATACTACTCCGCCTCCAACAGATGGCTATGAAAATGACGAAAATTACATCAAAAATCGAAGCGGTAAAAACCGTAAAAAAATACGGCAAAATTTATAGCGGTGTTAAAAAAAAGAAATTAATAATCGCCATGTCGAACAAAAAATATTGGACGAAAATTGAAAAAAAAAATCAAGTCGGTCTAAAATCACAACGTGTGTGGATAATTTCTTTTGTAGAAATACTACTCCGCCTTCAACAGATGGCTATGAAAATGACGAAAATTACATCAAAAATCGAAGCGGTAAAAACCGTTCAGTCGCAAATATAGGCGAGGAGGCTGCTCATTTCCCAACTTCGACACAATGCAAAAAGTGGCCATGCCACAGAAAAAAAATGACGGGAATTATGATAAAATCTTATCTACAGCGGATCGATAGCAACTGCAGCACTCACAGCTTATAAAAAAAAGTCGGAAACCAATTTTGGGGAAACGGTGGGGAAAATGACAACAGTAAAACAAACAAAACGGCGGAAAATACGGCAAAATTACGGCAAAATTTACAGCGGTGTTACAAAAAAAATTAATAATCGCCATGTCGAACGAAAAAGTCGGTGACCAAAATGACAGGATTTACGGTAACTACATCGTCATTTTTAAGACCTTCTTTTTCCGCAGAACTATATACGTGTGCAGGATGCATTAGGAAAGAATACTGCATTAGCAGTGTCGACACATTTTTGTACATTGTGGGCGGCACCATGAGTGTGCATTATAACAAAATAATCGTGTCTGTTTTTAAAAGAAAATCATGGAAAACATTGAAATAAACATGCATGGTAAACACGGGTAAAATCATTCATTCCTAAGGTTGCAGGTAAGCTTTTATTAGACATAGTTATTGGCTGCATTGGAATGTTTCTCTTCAGTAACAAATGGGCTAGGCCCAGTGTTTTCGCACCCCTGTTAACTTAGGAAAGAGTTGCAGCTTTCATCGGAGAAAATGAGGATCTAAAAGTGGAGACATGCAGACTGGATGAGCTAGGCTGCTTAGTCAGGACGAAAATGGACCCTCCCACAGCCTCATCACACACAGAAACTCGAGGAACCGGAAGCAGGGAGGAGGACCGACAGATGAACGGATGACCTGCTTGCTGGGCTTCCCATTACTGATTCTTGAGGTTAGTTTATATGTACACTTAAAAATCAACTCGAGCAAGTCGAATCAAATTGGGTGATCTGGAGCTCTTTTGATGTTTTTCCACAAAGAAAGAGTATTGGCGGTGGAGCATTGCCTTGTTGGATTAATTCAAGGTTTCTTTTCCCCTTTCTATGCCTTAAAAAAGGAGCACTGACAGACACGCTGGATGACGAGGCTGCTTCAGTCGGTGAGGATGAAAGGATAAGACCCCACCTTCAAAAACATCATCCATGCAGACAAAACCTAGGAACCGGCAGCAGGGAGGAGGACCGACAGATGAACGGATGACCTGCTTGCTGGGCTTCCCATTACTGTTTCTTGAGGTTAGTTTATATACCTGAGCAAGTCGAATCAAAATGGGTGATCTTGAGCTCTTTTGGAGTTTTCAACAAAAAGAAAAAGTACTGGTGGTGGAGCATTGGTTTGTTTGGTTAATTCAAAGTGTCTCTCCTCTTTCTGTACTTTACAAAAGGAGCACTAACTGGCTGGATGACGAGGCTGCTTCAGTTAGTGAGGATGAGAGGACATGGCCCCAATTTCAAAAACACCATCCATGCAGACAACCTAGGAACCGGAAGCAGGGAGGAGGACCGACAGATGAACGGATGACCTGCTTGCTGGGCTTCCCATTACTGATTCTTGAGGTTAGTTTTAATATTAGTTTACTCTTGCTTGCGAGACTTTCTCGCGAGACTTGCTCGCAAGACTTGTTGGCAAGACTTCCTTGAAAGAAAAGGAATACATTTAAGCTGAAGGGAATGTCATAAGACTGCAATTTCGTAATAATTCAATTGTTTCCTTTCGTCATTTGAATCCATTTTTAAGACGATATGAAACTGAGGTATCAGAAGCACTAGTAGAAAGGAAAACCAAGAAATGTCTTAGTAACATTTGATTTTAACAAAGATAAGTTCCAGACGAGCAATACATATAGCACAAAAGTATGGTTAGAAATCGAGGGAAAACCTCGGTGGCAATGTCTGGAACATTTTCAAAACAGCTGGAAGTTAATCACATGACAATGCTTGATGTGTTACCGCTTTAAACGAGTGCAACCCTCTTGACCCTTTTCCAAGAGCTTGAACTCCAATGTTATGGAGATCGATCATCGAAAGGGAAGTCACATTGCCTCGTATAGTCTGAATAACAAGTGGAAATGAAAACATGCCAATAACACATAACCTAGCTAGCCTAAGTCGATATTTTTTGTTTTGTTTAAATCATAAAGGACCTTCTGCAACTGAACCAGATGGATTCTGCAACTGGATGTAACATGCTTGACAAGGAAGAGAATCTTACGTGTTGACTTTAAGAGGATGAAGCTTCTCCACAAATGAATGCCAAGGAACCAGATGCTGGAAAGACCGACAGATGCCTGACCCTCCTTGCCGAGCTGGACATTACTAATTCTTGAGGTGCAAGAAAGAGACCAAGGTATGAAGACTGCAATTTGTTTTTCCTTTGATACCTTGTCCCCCCCCCCACTACAAAGTATAAAATGCTTGATTTCCTCTGTGAATAAAAGTTCTAAAGTTTGCTTGCCGGCTTATCCTCTTTGTCAAGTTTTAGAACATGAGGACAACCAAGCTTGGATGAGACTGGACAATGACGAAGCTTATCTCTCTATGGACAAGGATAGTCTCATCAGAAACCAAGAACCGGAAGAAGCAAGCAAGGAAGACCAACAGATGAACCGATGACCCTGTTTTCTGCGCTTGCCTTTACCAATTCCTTAAGTTAGTTTTACTCAAGGAACAAGAAAGAATAAACAAGTACAATGAAGAGGAAGTCTCATCTACAGTGAACATTTTTGCGTGTTGGCGGTAGTGCTAAAGCCCCATGCCAATTTGCCAATGAAACAAAAACACTGTTGCCATTTAACTTGATAGTGCATTTTTTTCAATGATAACTAATTTAAGTAAATACAAGAGTTTTAAACGCTTTCAAAAAAATTAGGATGTTTGAGAAATTAACAAAGTTAAGATGTCTATGTAGCTAAAATGGGTTATTTTCTTTACAATTTTAAATCGATTAGAAAAACTCAAGAATGTAAAACTTTTGGAAAGTTTCAAGAATCACCGGGAGTTGTTCATGAATTTCTCTGTACCAAAATGTTGGAAAATTTAAGGACTGTTGAAGACCTCTCCCCTCACTTTTATGTCACCTACCTTAAAAAGTTTAAATGGTTCTTCTTTGTTCCCCCTCAGAAAACTCCTTAATGCATTGCAACAGGTTACTGGCACTCAGATTACATTGTGTATATCCTTTTGTATTGTCTGTTTGATTGCACGTTTTCACTACTAACTTATTTTATTTTGTTCACTTGGTGTCTTTTGGTGGTTTTGCATGTCTTTTGATTTTACTCGTTTAATTAACCCACAAAAGGATAAACGCAATGTATACCGAGTGCTGAACTTGCCTCATCAAAAATTGTGTTCACACATTAGCTAAATTAAATAAGATAATGCTTAGAATATTTCAAAACATGATCTCTTAAGTATCTAAGTTTTTAAAAGTGGGAGGGGGATATCCCCTAGCCTTTATGTTCCTTTTTAATTTGTTAATTCACAAAAAAGTACCAGCTTTAATACCCTCTAATGTTATTATTTTTTTCTAATGTTTTAATTTTTTTGTATTAAAAGCTTAATTTAAGTCTTAGCATTCAAGTATCAGAATTGTTGGCATACCCAAATGTTTTATTTATCTAATGTCCGTACTGAATTGCTTCTAAACAAATCGAAATAATTATTATAAGGTGCTTCTATATTGGCTTCCAAAGACCAATTATAATGTCACCTGATCTGTTTAAACAATCTGAAATAGTTTTTGTGGAAAATTGTGAATTTTTAATTTCTCAAATTGTTTCCTTATCTAGAATCCATGATCAGTATTTGTTTCGTAAGGAATTTGTTCAAAAACATTTGTATGTCAATCAGGTGACAAGAATAAAAACTGAATGAAATGAGATCATTGATAATCCTTAGTAGATTGTCATTTGTTTTTGTCTGTAAATTTTTTTTTAATTTTTATTTCAGTGGTTGGGGAGGTCAAGCCACTACAAACGTTAAAATAATTAACTGACATAACATTTTTAATGATGGCAACTGGAGACGGGGTGCGCACATGATATGATATGAAGGGAAGATAGAATCCACTCTAAGACACGAAACAATTCTCTCGGCTCCACCTATAATATTTATTATCATAGTGGTGTTCCCTTATTAGGCCATCAGCTTGGTGGTTTGGTCAGTAGTATCAAATCAGGGCATCATAATGATTATAGTGCGCATGCGCAAGGTATACCGCCCCTAGAGTGGTAGCAAGCAATTTGATGGACATTTTGGAAAAAAAGGGCGATAACGCCCAAAAAGCTGCCACCACTGCAATGTTATCACATATTTTCCAACTCTGGAGGTGTATACCTTGCCAAAATCGCTATGGCGATTATTCCCCTCATTTGATACCGGTTACCAAAATTTTGGACCGAGGCTGATGGCCTATAATTTATGTGGCGCACTTCAACGTTTTCCTTAGTCTATGTAATAGACCACGGCGAATATATTATGCGCGAACAGATTTGCTGATTAATTAGGCAAGACCCCGCCTCTGGACTTCCTAGATTTTGACCAGTCAGCAGGCGCTTTCTATACATCTATCGGGTATTCGGTCATTCACCTGTTGCGCGTCATAGACATGGATTTAAAAAAAAAAATGTCACGGCGCGCGGCGCTCGATACAAATGCGCTCCCGGCTGTTGTTGCATTACAAAACGCTGCATTCGAATTGACCAATCACAACGTTAGTCCTGATTTTGGGATGAAGTGACGTCACGATTTAGTAAAGTCGACTCCGATTGGCTGGCGCGCGGCTTGCATAAATCTGCATGCTTTGACATATCAGACGTTAGACAGGAGATGGCTTCGTGGATAACGGGTGATACTCAGACTACGTTTTCCTCGACTGTGTCGTGAAATTAGGTCCAAAATTTGGGCACTAATTCGGCAGAGTGTTCCCTAACGTGGCGCACTTGTACAAATCTCGGGAAATTCCATGTTAACATTTCAGATCTAGTTTTAACGTTGATAAATTCTGATAAATCAGAATCTCCACTCGCATGTACATGTACGAAGTACAAGTTTGTCAGAAAATTTTCTTATTTTTGGGGCGCATTTTGAAAGGTTTTCTTGTGCACTTCTAAATAAAATTTAAAAACATCACGCTAAAATAGAATATCTCTGGAACTTTGTAGCGGCTATACACGTAAACTCAAAATTTATGAACGGGAATGCTTAGGCATAGAGCGTGATGAAATTTCACTGACTTTGAAATTTGTGGTAAAAATGTTGGTCTAGTAAGGCACTAGAGGCGTAAAATCAAAGTGAGCCACGTTAGGCGCTGCGCCCTGTTTTCGCTCATAACATCTGTAATTTTTTTTCTCGTGAACGTCTGGGGGACGTTTTATTCGTTCATGAAATATGGGCACAATTTTTCCCTAGGTGGGCATAATAATTCCCCCTTTTTTTTAAATGGCTGCCACGCCCCCAAAAAGGTACTTTTGTGATGGCTCCGAATCCGGAAAACACTTGAAATCTTTATAATTATGTCTTTGTGAAGTTTCCTGCTTTTGTGACAAGTGGGAACAACCGTTTTCACTGCGGGCACGACAAGTCCCGCCCCCTTTTTAAAATTAATGTCACGCCCCTAAAAGGGTAAATTTGCGATGGTTCCACATCTAAAACATTTTTTTCGCATGATTATAAACAACTGTGCCAAGTTTCATGCTTTTATGCAAAAGTGCACACATTTTTTCCACATATCCGCTGGACTAGTACGAGTGAAGTTGCCAAATCTTTCTTTCGGCCGTGGTGTTTACATAATCGATCCAGTCTCTTGAGGGCGCTATTTCAATTACAAGTGTCAGTCAAGTTTTGGCCGCAGCCTAGCCAGCGCGCTATTTATGATAAACATGTAGCACGTGGCATCATCAGATTCAAGCGAGATTTTCATTATAAAGTTGAATAATTCGGGCAAAGAGATTCGGTTGTGTTAAACATGGACAGCGTTGCTGCTACTACGGTGTGGAGATGTGTTAGATAGTCTTGAAGATTAGGGTAAATTTGTTAAGTGTAACTTTGGGGAGGTTGTTGATGTTGTTGTTGTGTTGTTTTTTTTGGGGGGGGGGGAGGGAGGGGCGGGACGGGACGGGGTATCAGCCCTGGCATGCCTGGGCACAGTGGGTCTTCAAATCAAATACAGAAATAGGCCATTAATTATTGATTCCATATTTCAGGCATGCAACTTTTCCTCGGATCAGCTGATTTCCTTTTTTTTTTCACTTCCCAAGTGTGCCATTGAAAATAGAAAAACACTCTACAAAAGTCTTGGAAAGATTTGAATTTCCTATTTTTTGTGTCTTCTCAGTTGTATGCCTGATATTTAAAAAGCCCAGATAGATTGTTATGTTCACAAATTAAAATTTTGTATTTTCTCTTAATAATATTTCTAAATAAATATGGAGGAGTTCAAGTAGGCCTATTTGATCCCACTTAGCTATGGGGCTGAGGGGGCATTCCCCACGAGGTCCACAAGATCATAATGCACCCCCACCCCCCACTTCATCTTCCACTGTTGTACGCTTTGCACAATTTTGATTTGCACAAACAATTGATAGTATTAGTAGCATAAGTTTGTCCAATCTGACCACAGTTGAAGTCACAGCCATACTCAAGGACCTCCAGTGGCAAATTCTGTGTGAACGTCGTGCCCGCAACAAGGTTGTCATCGTGCTAGACTAGCCACCCCATGCAGCCCACCAATTACCGGTTTCACCAGAGGTCACTCTCAACAATTCAGACAACAACATTGCAGAATCCAATCATACCAAAATACTTTCTTCCCAAGCATCATATGCCTGTGCAATGACTTCCCGTCTCAGTTGTGTCCGCCCCATCACTAGAGGCCTTCCATTGTCCATTGTCCCTGCGTTATTTCATCCCCCTTTTGTTGCTACTCTCACTTCGTCACCACTTTTTCAGTGTTTTATCTTTTTGTGAAATTTTGTTCCCTCATCAAACCCTTTGCACCATATCCAGCATTTTCGGGAGCTCTAGCTCCTAAGAGGGATGTGCTTTCCTGGGAGAAGAAAAAGGAAGAAGAAGAAGATGCATAAGATATTTTTTTTATTGTCAAACAAATAATTTCACCCTCTCAGTGGTTCATATCTTGAGTTTCTTGAGGAATCATTATGAGACCCTGTGTGTCCTTTCTGTAAGATGACAGTTTTCTCCAACAACTATTTTTCCCCACACACAGGTATGATGGACCCCTTATTGAAGATGAAGCAGCATTTCAGCAAGCCGTCGATGGAGGCACCAGCTCAACCGAGTTAACCGCCCTCATCAGTTGGCTAGTAGAAAAACTCAACAGACTGAGCAGCATAGAGGCCACCGTCTCGGCCACATCCCGTCTCAATTCATATCCGGAACAAGTTGCGGACAATGTATCGGGTATAATTAAGGCTGGATTCTGAACGACTTCCCTGCAATCTTCCCGCAAGGAAGTTTTCAGTATTGGTGAGTCAAGCAGTTGCTAACGAAATATTCCTTCCGGACAAAGTGAATGATTCTACCCGCAACTTGTCCAGAACTCGTCACAGATATGAATTGAGACCGGCCCTATACATGCTTTTGTTGTTAAAATTTGCATAACAAAGAACACTGTCTGAGGCACCTGAGTCCATCATTTGCAGCTATCCAAAAAGTAACTGGTGTAATTATTGTTGAAAAACATACTTGGTTGAAAGATAGTAAGGGGACTAAACTCCCTGTGAAATTATTCGTTCTGGCAAGCTGTCATTTTGAAGAAATCAACAAAGAAGGCCTTTCCAACGGTGCGTCTTAAGAAGCACCTTGGAAATTTCCGTTAGTAGTTGGTTGTTTTATTTGGCGAAGTGCACGCAAGCGTTGACACGATGCACACGCGCGCGTGGTTGCTATAATTCGTCGGATCGGTGCGCGACATCGTGTAGCTGCAATCGGCTAGTGAGAAGTTGTCTCGGACGCTGAATTCAGGCCCAAGTCAAAACATGATTCAGCAACTTTTGATTTGAAATCGAGATCCTAGAATGTTGTTTTTTCTCGAAATATACAGCTGAAGCTGAGCTGAAACTTCAACAGGTTTCAGGTAGTTATTCAGCCTTCTTTAGATTTTGAGCACATTGGTTGCTTCAAACGAACAAAATGCACAAATTACCAATGATGGACTTATCTTTTAAATTTCACTGCCAAATATCAAACCTTTCAACCCCTGATCCTCAACAGCTGTCGAGGAAGCCGAGTCCTTTGAGCTGGAGCTGAGCGGTCTACTGAGCGAGCTGAACTGGCCGTATAGCGCCCTCACAGATCAACTGCTTTGGCAACAAGCAGAACCGACTACGCTTATTAGGTGAGCTAATGTACACGTACACTAAGGGAATGCAACAATCCTCAGCATTGTTTCCATGCTTGATTTTAGGGAAGTTCCAAAGTGTCAAAAGTACATGTTGGACAATTCTACAGTGTGCACTGACTGAGAGAAATCAGCGATTCACAAATCTGGTTATTTTTTTTTTTTTTTCAAACCAATCTGATTTCACAGCATTCCAAGGTTTACACCCAGCTGATGAGTTTGTAAGCACTGTCGATATAAGAATCTTCAATAATCGATATATCGGAAATCAAATATCGAGTATATTCGATGCTGATTATCCCATGTATGAGATAAGTCCATTATTTTTTTTTCTCCAAAATAAAAAAAAAAATTATGACTAAAATCTCGCAACTGTACTTGAGTACATGTACTTTAAACGGAATATACATCATTTGCTTTTGCTGTAATTTTTTGCATTAAATTTATGGAAATAGATAGAGAAGTTTGTGAATGATCAGCTGTAATGACCAGCATTATCAATTCAATAATGAAAAAATCTAAAAGTTTTCTTTTCTCACTGGATACTGATTGTTATGAGTTGAACTCTTCAGGGAATTCAATTCTGGCCTCTAGGCACCTCATGTGAACTTTTAGCAATTTTGGTCAACTTGATTTTTGGGTGGAAAAACTGACTTTTTCGATGATGCCGGCTATGGAAAATATTGAAGTTTTGGGGGCATTTTGTAAAAAATCAACAAGTTTTCTTTTCTCACTGGATACTGAATGTAATGAGTTGAACTCTTCAGGGAATTCAATTCTAGCCTCTAGGCACCTCGTGTGATTTTTTGAGCAATTTTGGTCAACTTTGATTTTTGGGTGGAAAAACTGACTTTTCGATGATGCCGGCTATGGAAAATGTTGAAGTTTTGGGGCATTTTGTAAAAAATCAAAAAGTTTTCTTTTCTGACTGGATACTGAATGTAATGAGTTGAACTCTTCAGGGAATTCAATTCTGGCCTCTAGGCAGCTTGTGTGACTTTTTGAGCAAATTTTGGAAAATTTGGATTTTCGGGTGAAAAACTGACTTTTCGATGATGCCGGCTATGGAAAACGTTGTAATTTGGGGGGCATTTTGTAAAAAATAAAAAAGTATTCTTTTCTCACTGTATACTAAAGTAATGAGTTAATCTCTTCAGGGAATTCAATTCTTGCCTCTATGCACCTCATGTGAACTTTTGAGCAAATTTTTGTCAAATTGGATTTTGGGTCAATAACTGACTTTTTCGATGATGCCGGCTATGGAAAACGTCAAAGTTTTGGGGGCATTTTGTAGAAAAATCAAAAAGTTTTCTTTTCTGACTGGATACTGAATGTAATGAGTTGAACTCTTTAGGGAATACAATTCTGGCCTGTAGGCACCTCGTGTAAACTTTTGAGCCTTTTTTGTCGAGTTGAAATTTTTGGTCAAAAACTGACTTTTTCGATGATGGAAAACGTTGAAGTTTTGGGGGCATTTGGTAAAAAATAAAAAAGTTTGGTTTACTCACTGGATACTGAATGTAATGAGTTGAACTCTTCAGGGAATTTAATTCTTGCTTTTAGGCACTTCGTGTGAACTTTTGAGTAATTTTTGTCGAGTCGGATTTTTGGGTCAAAAACTGACTTTTTCGATGATGCCGGCTATGGAAAACGTTGAAATTTTAGGGGCATTTTGTAAAAAGCCAAAAAGTTTTGTTTTCTCACTTGATACTGAATGTAATGAGTTGAACTCTTCAGGGAATTCAATTCTGGCCTCTAGGCACCTTGTGTAAACTTTTGAGCATTTTTTGTCGAGTAGGATTTTTGGGTCAAAAACTGACTTTTTTCGATGATGCTAGCTATGGAAAACGTTGAAGTTTTGGGGGCATTTTGTTAAAATCAAAAAGTTTTCTTTTCTCACTGGATATTGAATGTAATAAGTTGAACTCTTCAGGGAAATCAATTCTGGCCTCTAGGCACCTTGTGTAAACTTTTGAGCATTTTTGTCGAGTAGGATTTTTGGGTCAAAAACTGACTTTTTCGATGATGCTAGCTATGGAAAACGTTGAAATTTTAGGGGCATTTTGTAAAAAGCCAAAAAGTTTTGTTTTCTCACTTGATACTGAATGTAATGAGTTGAACTCTTCAGGGAATTCAATTCTGGCCTCTAGGCACCTTGTGTAAACTTTTGAGCATTTTTTGTCGAGTACGATTTTTGGGTCAAAAACTGACTTTTTCGATGATGCCGGCTATGGAAAACGTTGAAGCTTTGGGGGCATTTTGTTAAAATCAAAAAGTTTTCTTTTTTTCACTGGATACTGAATGTAATGAGTTGAACTCTTCAGGGAATTCAATTCTGGCCTCTAGGCACCTCGTGTGAACTCTTGAGCAATTTTTGTCGAGTCAGATTTTTGGTTCAAAACTGACATTTTTGATGATGCCGGCTATGGAAAACGTTGAAATTTTAGGGGCATTTTGTAAAAAGCCCAAAAGTTTGGTTTTCTCACTGGATCCTGAATGTAATGAGTTGAACTCTTGAGGGAATTCAATTCTGGCCCCTAGGCACCTCATGTGAAATTTTGAGCAATTTTTGTCCAGTCGGATTTTGGGTCAAAAACTGACTTTTTTGATGATGCCGGCTATGGAAAACGTTGAAGTTTTGGGGGCATTTTGTTAAAATCAAAAAGTTTTATTTTCTCACTGGATCCTGAATGTAATGAGATGAACTCTTCAGGGAATTCAATTCTGGCCTCTAGGCACCTCGTGTGAACTTTTGAGCAATTTTTGTCGAGTCGGATTTTTGGGTCAAAAACTGACTTTTTCGATGATGCCGGCTATGGAAAACGTTGAAGTTTTGGGGGCATTTTGGTTAAATCAAATTGTTTTTCTTTTCTCACTGGATACTGAATGTAATGAGTTGAACTCTTCAGGGAATTCAATTCTGGCCTCTAGGCACCTCGTGTGAACTTTTGAGCAATTTTTGTCGAGTCGGATTTTTGGGTCAAAAACTGACTTTTTCGATGATGCCGGCTATGGAAAACGTTGAAGTTTTGGGGGCATTTTGTTAAAATCAAAAAGTTTTGTTTTCTCACTCGATACTGAATGTAATGAGTTGAACTCTTCAGGGAATTCAATTCTGGCCTCTAGGCACCTCGTGGGAACTTTTGAGCAACTTTTCTCAATGGATACTGAATGTAATGAGTTGAACTCTTCAGGGAATTCAATTCTGGCCCCTAGGCACCTCATGTGAAATTTTGAACAATTTTTGTCGAGTCGGATTTTTGGGTCAAAAACTGACTTTTTCGATGATGCGGGCTATGGAAAACGTTGAAGTTTTGGGGGCATTTTGGTTAAATCAAATTGTTTTCTTTTCTCACCTGATACTGAATGTAATGAGTTGAACTCTTCAGGGAATTCAATTCTGGCCTCTAGGCACCTCGTGTGAACTTTTGAGCAATTTTTGTAGAGTCGGATTTTTGGGTCAAAAACTGACTTTTTCGATGATGCTGGCTATGGAAAACGTTGAAGTTTTGGGGGCATTTTGGTTAAATCAAATTGTTTTCTTTTCTCACTTGATAGTGAATGTAATGAGTTGAACTCTTCAGGGAATTCAATTCTGGCCTCTAGGCACCTCGTGTGAACTTTGGAGCAATTTTTGTCGAGTCGGATTTTTGGTTCAAAAACTGACTTTTTCGATGATGCCAGCTATGGAAAACGTTGAAATTTTAGGGGCATTTTGTAAAGAGCCAAAAAGTTTGGTTTCTCACTGGATACTGAATGTAATGAGTTGAACTCTTCAGGGAATTCAATTCTGGCCTCTAGGCACCTCGCGTGAACTTTTGAGCAATTTTTGTTGAGTCGGATTTTTGGGTCAAAAACTGACTTATTCGATGATGCCGGCTATGGAAAACGTTGAAGTTTTGGGGGCATTTTCTTAAAATCAAAAAGTTTTGTTTTCTCACTTGATACTGAATGTAATGAGTTGAACTCTTCAGGGAATTCAATTCTGGCCTCTAGGCACCTTGTGTAAACTTTTGAGCATTTTTTGTCGAGTAGGATTTTTGGGTCAAAAACTGACTTTTTTCGATGATGCTAGCTATGGAAAACGTTGAAGTTTTGGGGGCATTTTGTTAAAATCAAAAAGTTTTCTTTTCTCACTGGATATTGAATGTAATAAGTTGAACTCTTCAGGGAAATCAATTCTGGCCTCTAGGCACCTTGTGTAAACTTTTGAGCATTTTTGTCGAGTAGGATTTTTGGGTCAAAAACTGACTTTTTTCGATGATGCTAGCTATGGAAAACGTTGAAATTTTAGGGGCATTTTGTAAAAAGCCAAAAAGTTTTGTTTTCTCACTTGATACTGAATGTAATGAGTTGAACTCTTCAGGGAATTCAATTCTGGCCTCTAGGCACCTTGTGTAAACTTTTGAGCATTTTTTGTCGAGTACGATTTTTGGGTCAAAAACTGACTTTTTCGATGATGCCGGCTATGGAAAACGTTGAAGCTTTGGGGGCATTTTGTTAAAATCAAAAAGTTTTCTTTTTTTCACTGGATACTGAATGTAATGAGTTGAACTCTTCAGGGAATTCAATTCTGGCCTCTAGGCACCTCGTGTGAACTCTTGAGCAATTTTTGTCGAGTCAGATTTTTGGTTCAAAACTGACATTTTTGATGATGCCGGCTATGGAAAACGTTGAAATTTTAGGGGCATTTTGTAAAAAGCCAAAAGTTTGGTTTTCTCACTGGATCCTGAATGTAATGAGTTGAACTCTTGAGGGAATTCAATTCTGGCCCCTAGGCACCTCATGTGAAATTTTGAGCAATTTTTGTCCAGTCGGATTTTGGGTCAAAAACTGACTTTTTTGATGATGCCGGCTATGGAAAACGTTGAAGTTTTGGGGGCATTTTGTTAAAATCAAAAAGTTTTATTTTCTCACTGGATCCTGAATGTAATGAGATGAACTCTTCAGGGAATTCAATTCTGGCCTCTAGGCACCTCGTGTGAACTTTTG